AGCCAAAAGGTTCCAATTTGGCTAATTGTGAAATAACTTGGTCTTAATAGGACCCAAAATAATAAATTAAATTAAGAGATGCTTTTGAAATCATTTGTAATGCCATTCTGTAATTATTTATTGGAAATAAAATGCTGGGTAAATTAATAAAGTATAGGAAAATTATGGAAAAATACCAATTGCTATTGATGCATGATTTTGAAGGTATATATTCAATTTTTAAAATATTTTTTGGAAAAAATTGGGTATCAACAATGGCGAGGGCTAAGGAGGACCAACTTGAGGAGAGAATCGAGGAGTTGGAAAAGGAAACCTCTGATCTTTATGATCAAGTTGCTACTTTGGAGGCCGAGAAGGCCCAACTTCATGCACGACCTTCTTTGTCTAATGTTTTTGGCTTCCCCAACGTCCTCTCTGAGCTGTATGAAGAGTGGATTCATGTTGAGGCCTGACTGGATGTGTTTCCTGAATTGCATGTGATGGGCTCTATTTTTTGGGCAGCCTCTGAGGATGCTCTGGTCAAGGCTCGCGAAGCTCGCCTTGCTTGTAGCTACGACCATGCTATGCCTCGGCCTGGCGAGGAGGATGAGGATAAGGAGGATACCATAAATCGTCTTGAGGAGGACGCCTGGTATAATTCTATTTACCCTCAGGGCGGGGATGGAGAGGATGCTGGAGGCCGGGACAGTGATGGTATCGATGCTTAGGGTGGTGATGTTGATGAAGATCAGGCTAATGAGGATTTTGAGGGTTGTGATGGTGATGGCCAGTAGTTTTTTTTTTTTTTACCTTTTTTGCATGTTTTGTTTGGCGTCTCCAAGAGCCTTTGTAACAAACTCTTATCTATGAGTATCTGAGTTGATTTGTGCTATCTTATTTTCCGTGATTTGTTTCTATATTTGTATGTTTTGCTCCTTTATATTTTTTGTTGTCGTCTTCTAGCTAATCGTAGTCCTTGGGCTAAATAGCCATAGGGTGAATCGTCCCTTCGTCTATATAGATCGAGTATTTCTCTTTAGTTGAGATATGGTCGAGGACCAATAGGTTTTGTTCGAACTTAGTCGATATTAACCTTTTTTATCAAATCGTGGCCGGAGGCCGGTAGGTCTTTATTCGAGCTTAGTCAAGCTTTGTCCTTTCGTCAAGTTGTGGCCGAGGGCCGCCAGGTGTCATTCGAGTGTGGTCAAACTTAACCATTCGTTAAGTCGCGACCGGGACCGGTGGGTGTCATTCAAGCGTAGTCGAAATTTACCTTTAGTTAAGTCACGGCCAAGGGCCGGTACATGTTGTTCTAGCGTGGTTGAACTTAACCTTTCGTTAAGTCGCAGCTGAGAGCCGGTAGGTGTTGTTCGAGCGTGGTCGAGCTTAACCTTTCGTTAAGTCGCGACCGAAGGTCAGTAGGTGTTTTTTTAGCGCGGTCGAACTTAACCTTTCGTTAGAGTGATTCTGCTAAACATGAATTTCTATTAATTGGAGAAAGTTACAAGTTTTGGGTGTTGGCTGGTATTCCAGTCCCAGTCCCTAGTGTATCTAGTCCTATCATTGGTTGACTTGGAGAGTGTTAACGAATCGGGCAACGAAAATAGAAATCAATCTGTTCTTCTTATACTTTGACTTAAAATGTCCCTCTCATCGCCTCGTTGAAAACCAGCTTGAGAAAACCCAATTGGGACGAAACTCAAGTGAGGGAAAAAAGAGTACGGTTTGGGGGGAACTTCTTATTTTCTAGAAGTTGAAGTATTTGAGGTGGCTGACATTCCAATTTTTTGGTAATTGTTTTCCTTCCATTGTCTCTAGTTGGAATGAATCTGTATTCGCTTTGCCTATGATTTTGAATGGTCCGTCCCAATTAGTTCCCAGTTTGACCTCTCATGGATCTCTGTTTTCTTGGGTTTTGACTTTGAGTACGTAGTCCCCGATCTTAAGTGGTTGGACCTTTGCTTTTTTGTTGCAGTAACGTTCCGCATGTTGTTTTTGGGCGACCATACTTATGCATGCCATATCTCTTCGTTCATTGACCTCGTCGAGCTCTTTTCTTCTACTCTCGTTGTTGTTGGTGCCACTTTCGTGAGAGTCCCTTAGGCTGGGTTCCCCGACCTCGACCGGTATAATTGCTTCAGTTCTGTAGACCAGTGAATAGGGTGTTTCTCATGTGCTCGTCTTGGGTGTGGTCTTGTGCGCCCACAAGACTTCTGGGAGTACTTTTGGCCACAGTCCCTTGGCTTCTTCAAGTTTCTTCTTCATTATGTTTAATATGGATTTGTTGGTGGCCAGTTGCCCGCTAGGTGGTAGGAGTATCCTCTTGATGTGCCATTTCTCAAAAAAGTTGATGGTTTTCTTTCCTGTGAATTGGGGTCCGTTTTCGCAATTTATTTCTTTGGGTAGGCCAAATCAGCAGATGATATTTTTCCATATCAAGGCGGTTACTTCTTGTTCGCGTACTTGGGCGAACACTCCTACTTCTACCCACTTAGAGAAGTAGTCAGTTAAAACTAAAAGAAATCGTACATTACCTCGCCCCGGTGGGAGTGGGCCCACGATGTCCATTCCCCATTTGATAAACGGCCATGGAGAGGTGACTGAATAAAGGTGTTCGCCTGCTTGGCGAATTATTGGGGCGTATTGCTGACATTGTTCACACAACTTCACGAATTCTGAGGTGTCTTTTTTCGTGGTGGGCCAGTAGTACCCGGCTTGTATGAGGCACCTAATGAGTGCTAGGTCACCAGAATGAGCTCCGTAGTGTCGTTCATGTACTTCCTCGAGGACGCGTTGTGTTTGATTCAAACCTAAACATTTTTCCAGAGGGTTGCCATATATTCTCTTGTATAGGCCGTTAAGTCGCTTGGGAGAGTGCCATCTTGTAAGCAGTTAATAATACAATTGCACCAGTCCCAAGTTAAGCTTACAGATGTTACCTCGATTTGATCTAGTGATGAGTTAATAAGGTGAACTACAATGTTATCCCCGGTCGTGATGCTTTTAGTGGCTGTGGCCAGTTTGGCAAGGCTGTCTGCTACGATATTCTGGGCTCGCAGGATCTGGTCGAGCTGGCATTCGTCGAAATTGGGCAGCAACATATAGATCTCGGCTTGGTATTTTTGAAACCTTTGTTCTTTGGTTTGGAAAGTCCCTATAACTTGGTTGACCACGAGCTGAGAATCATAATAGAGTTTCAGCCGCTTTGCGCCATATTTGAGTGCTAGCCTCAGCCCTGCGATTATGGCCTCATACTCGGCCTCGTTGTTAGTCATATCTGGGCATCTTATGGACTGGTGAATTACTTCGCCGATAGGGACCTCGAGTACGAGTCCCAGTCCGGATTCGAAAGCATTGGATATGTCGTTAGTGTACAGGACCCAGAGATCTTGTGTTTGATGTCATGCTCACTTAGCTTGATGGCCCATTTGGCCAGCCTCCCCGACAACTCGGGTTTGTGTAAAATGCTTCTTAAAGGGAAAGTGGTAACGACTGAGATGGGGTGGCACTGGAAATAGGGTCTAAGCTTTCATGAAGCTATGACCAATGCCAGGGCTAATTTCTCGTGGTGTGGTTATCTTGTCTCGGCATCAACAAATGTCTTGTAAATGTAATAAATAGGGGATTTTGTACCTTTATTTTCTCGAACTAGGACCTCACTTATTTCTATTTCGGAGATGGCGAGGTAGACGAGGAAGTGTTCCCCGGGTTCAAGCTTCAAGAGCAGAGGTGGTGATGACAGATACAGCTTTAATTCTCGCAGAGCTTGTAGGAATCCCTTTGATAGCCTTGATTTGGTCTGGGTTGACTTCGATCCCTCATTGTGACACTAAGAAAACCAAAAACTTTCCCGAGGCTATGCCAAATGCTCATTTCTCAGGGTTTAATTTCATCCCGTATCGTCTTAGTATGTCGAAAGGTTCCCTCAAGTGGTCGATATGGTCTTCTTCCCTTACGGATTTGACCAACATGTCATTGATATACACCTATATGCTCTTCTGACAACTCTCTGATAGGTGGTTCCTGCATTTTTCAACCAGAACGGCATGACCCTATAACAATACGTTCCTCTATGGGTGATGAACGTGGTTTTCTCCTGGTCCTCTTCTTCCATTAGTATTTGGTTATAGCCCGAGTATGCATCTAGGAAACTCAACAATTTATGTCCGCCCATTGCGTCGATGAGTTGGTCGATATGTGGCAATGCGAATGAATCTTTCAGGCATGCTTTGCTTAAATCTGTGAAGTCTACACACATCCTCCATTTTTTGTTGTTATTTTTTACCATCACCACATTGGCTATCCACTTGGGGTATTTCGATTCCCTGATGGAGCCATTTTCTAATAGCTTCTCTACCTCCTCATGGACGACACCATTGATATCAGGTTAAACTTTTGTCTGACCTGGCTTACAGGGGGGATAGGATGGGTCAACATTCAATTTATGTGTGGCGATCTCCTTGGAGATGCCTGGCATATGTGCACAGCTGAAGGCAAGCAAATCTGCGTTAGTTATTAAAAATTGGCTAAGTTTACCTAGTTCACAGAGTTTGCAGCCAATATAGGCCTTTTTGCTAGGGTTGCTGGGATCTAGTTGAACGGGGTCGAGGTCCTCTATAGTTGAGTCCACAGCTTCGGCCATTTCAGGGTCCATAATGGCGTCCTTGGTCTCTTCTTGTGTCGACCTTGACCCTATTAATTTCTATGCTTCTTTTTCCTTGTCTTTCTTTTGTTGGGTTTTCGAGCTATCCATGGCGATACGGTAGCTTTCCCGGGACGTGTGATGTTCCCTCCGTATGCTGAATATTCCACAAGGTGTTGGGAACTTGATCGCTTGGTATAGGCTAGAGGGGACGACTCTCATGGGATGTATCCATGGTCATCCTACTTTGGCATTGTATGCGGAGTGTGATTTCTCCCGAAGTCCGTTTAACTGCATTGTTAAAACCGGTTAGTGTGATGCAGTGTGGCACTACCTTGTCCTCGAGTCTCATCTAGTTGAGGACTTGAGGATAGATAATTCACGCGCCGCTCCCATCATTTACCATGATACATTTAAAATCAGTATCTGAAATTCGTAAAGTAATGACAAAAGCATCATTGTGAGGGAAAGTCAAACCATCGGTATCTGACTCATCGAAGATGATACTTTCTTCAAGTCTGTCATACCGTTTATGGGTGATCGATCTGTTGAGCTTGTGAGTGGCAGTGAACTTGATACCGTTGATGGAGGAATCATTATCAACGCTAATAATCATATACATGGTGCGGGACAGTAAGGGCGGCTTCAGCGGACCTTGACGTTCTCGACCCCGGGCGAAGATGTTCCTTCCCTTGTCGCTCAGTAGCTCTTTGAGGTGCCCTTGCTGCAACTTGTTCACTACCTCTTGCCTTATGGCGATGCATTCTTCTATTTTATGGTCGCGTTCCTGGTGGAATTCGTAGAAGGTGTCGGATTTTCTGGTACTTGGGTCGGACCTCATTTTCGGAAGCCACTTCACATTCGTTCCGAGTTTCTCCAGGGCGTAGACTATTTTTGTGGGTGAAACACAAAAGTTGTGAGAAGATAATAGGGGGGCATACTTCTCTTGTTCCTATGAGTCCCCGTTCTCGGCCTAGATGGACCACCATTATAGCAGAGGGGAGGAGGGATGGGGGCTCTGACGTAAGGCTGATGTCATTTACTATTCGGTCGTGAGATCGGGCAATCCCTTCTCATGTTACCTTTTCGTTCTTTCCTGGGTTCGGCTTGTACCGAGATGAGCCGTCGAGTTGTTCTATTGAGGTCGCCATTATCAGCCTCGACTTCGGCACAATAGGCATTATGGATTTCGTCCCGAGTAGTTGGAGGGTACTTCATCAACCGACTCAACAGCTTTCTGGTCGCTCTTGAACCCTCTCTGCTCAGCCCGTTTTGAAAGGTTGTGACCGCTATCCTTTCGGATATGTTTGGTAAGGTGATCCTTACCCTGGTGAATCGGTCAAGGAAGTCCCTTAGTCCATCTCCTAGGTATTGCTTAATGGCGAAGATGTCGTTTACTCTTGTTTCATCTTTCTTAGCCCCGACATGCGCCGTCACAAACTTATCGGCCATTTCTTTGAAGGTTTCTATGTTAATGCCCCCCCCCCCCCCTTCAGTGAGGGTTTCGTCAAATATTTTCAGAAAAATGGAGGACATCTATTCCTTGGTAAGGTCGTTGCCCTTCACGGCAGTGACGTAATGAGTCACGTGATATTCGGGGTCGGTTGTTCCTTCGTATATCCTCAGATATGGTAGTATTTTGAAGATCTTTGGTATGCCATTTGGGGTCGCTTCTTCGCTATACGTCTGCTCTACGAACCTGCCAGCATCCCTCTTCGGCAGTAGCTTAGGGGCACCCGGTATCTTGTCGACTTGTTCTTGGTGTTCTTTCATTTGGTCTCTGAGCGTTTTGTTCTCATTCTCCATTTCTTCCATTCTCTTTAAAACAGTGGCAAGGACGCGGTCACCTGCACTGTCAGCAACATTATGAGTAATACCTGGAGTTGGAGGGTTTGATTGATTGCCCTATTCGTCTCCTCGTTGTACCATGTGGGTTCTCACGATTTCTGTTTTCGTACATGGAGCTTGTTTGTTGAGCATGCTTACTAAGGTATCGGTCAGCCATGCTTCGAGGAGTTCTTTCATAGCGGGTGGCATCCTTTCTCTTGTGGACGTGGAGGCCCCTTTTCCATTTGGTTTCGTCGTGCTACAATGGGGGGAGGCGGCCTTTCGCGCATGGGGGAGGCAGTGGGTGTCACATTATTGCCCAACGTTTCATAGCTCCCGTTGATATCATTCATGAGGTTGCTGGGGATGTCACCTATCACCTTAGTTCTGTCTCCTTGGTTACTTGCCAAGTATACTTCTATACGTGCAGAGTGGGAGAAAAACTTTGTGGTTGGTTTGGTTAGAAAAATCATGTGAGTTGTAGATCTAATAAAAACTAAAATATTAGCTAAGAAATTCCCGCGTACGGCGCCAAACTGTTTGACCCAAAATTTAGATCTGGGCTTAAACAATTAGATTTAATAAAATAGGGTCAACTTTAGCTAATATTAATATCCAAAAGATATGTTAACTGATTTTGTGATAAGATAATATGTACATTCATACAAATAACAATAAATGTTGACAAAACTAACAATATTCAATGACCAAAAAAGAAAGGGATAGCATTAAATAACAATAAATAGCAATGAATGACATTTAAATAAATAAGAACGTGTAAGTCACCCAACAAGGGTGAGATCTGTGGATATTCTTTCTGATAATGATGAATGATTGAAGAGTCTTCGAATGTTCAGATTGTTCTTGGATCGAGTGGAAAAGTTAGGCAAGAATCTTAAGAAAAAGGCATATATTGTTTGTTTGCAATAAAGCCAGATTCTATAGAGAAAGTCAATGTGCTTTTTTACAAGTGAATATCTTATGTCACCTATCATTGTATCTCTTTCTATTTATAGGGAACATATACCTAAAAACCCTAATATTACAAATATAGAGAATATCCACTGAAATATTCTCTTTTGATGTCTTATCCTAAAACTAGCCATTATTTACTCTATCTACGATGAGTACTCGACCTCGACCTTGATCTTCGATGACTCCTCAACCTTGATCTTCAACAACTTCATCGGCTCCGTGTCATGACCCAAAAATCCCTCCAAAGGAGTCGTGATGGCACCTAGTCTCTAAAACTAGGTAAGCCTAACACATACTGAAATGATAACAGGTTTTACTAAACAACTATTAAAAATAAACTGGAATTTTCTGAATAAGCCAATAATCTCAGGATGATGCAGTATTCCAGAACCCAGTACTACAAGTCATAAGCTTTTCTAAGAGTAACAATATATAATGAATACATTATTGTTTCGAAATAATAGGAAACAATGGAAATAAATACAACAGAAGGTGACTTCGGAGCCTGCGAACGTCCAATAGGTGTACCTTGAAGACTCCAGCCGCACAAGCATAAGTCTCAAAACCAATTCGATTCGAAGTACCTGGTTTTGCACAAAAATGTACAGAAGCGTAGCATGAGTACACCACAATGGTACCCAGTTGTCACGACCCCGGTTCGCCCTCCGTGAACCATCGTGACGACACCTAGTCTCTACGACTAGGTAAGCCTAAATTGCGGAAGACAACCAAACTTGCGGAAAATAAAACGATTTAAGAACAGAAATAAAGCAAATCTAGTGTTAAATGTGCCACTCGGCATACACCATATATATATAAGTCTCAAAACCAATATCCCATCCAAGACCCGGAAACCCACAAATCACAAGCTAAGACAGAGAAATACTACATAGCTCTAACTCCGGAATTTTTGTCTAATAAGAACAGAAGGTACAGAAGGACTAAAATACTAAAAGCAGGAATGGAAAGGGACTCCTCGGTCTGCGGACGCGGCAGATGTACCTCGAAGCCTCCAAGTAGTCGCCTCCCTCAAGGATGATAAGCCTGAGAAGAAGTACCTAGATCTGCACATGAAAAACATGCGCAGAAGAGGCATGAGTACACCACAGCGGTACTCAGTAAATGCCAAGCCTAACCTCGGTCGGGTAGTGACGAGGAAGGTCAAGGCCCTACTGAGGTAAATAATAATAATAGTGACAGGTTAAGATAAACAATATAATTGAGAATCTACAGTAAGAGTCTATACATGATAATAAGGGTACAATAACGGAAACAGAATATAAAGACAAATCGCCAGGTAACACCACTCACAACAAGGATAATAATCAGGGATCTCTTGGTATCCCGAGGATATCTTGTTATCCTCAATATACATACACTAGGGATCTCTTGGTATACCGAAGATCTCTTGGTATCCTCAACATATATCGGGGATCTCTTGGTATCCCGAGGATCTCTTGGTATCCTCAATATATGTACACACTAGGGATCTCTTGGTATCCCGAGGATCTCTTGGTATCCTCAATATATGCCAGGGATCTCTTAGTATCCCGAGGATCTCTTGGTATCCTCAATATACGTGCTAGGGATCTCTTGGTATCCCGCACCTCAGTCCAAATCATAAATACGTACAGGTGATCTCCCGGGATGCCGTCCCGTAGTCCCAAATTAAAACACACAGAAGCAACAAAAGGATACTTAATTAGATGCTAAATACGTATCAAATAAGCAGTTAATTCTAGTCTAACATGCTTCACGTAATGCAATTAAAGCAGTTTAAGCAAAAGGCAATTAAGTCAACTAAAAATGCTTTTTCTAAACTAACAACAGGCTAAAGTCGCAAATAGAATAAACAGGAATAAAGGAACTCAGCTTAAATACTAAAAATAAAACTCGGTTTTTCAATAATTAGCTCAAGTACGCGCTCGTCACCTCACGTACAAGGCATTTCAATTATCAAACATCATAACCTAAGGGGAAGGTCCCCCACACAAGGTTAGACAAGCCACTTACCTCGAACCGGCTCAAAATTAACTAGAAACCACGTTCTTGCCACGAGTAACCGACTCCAAATGGCCCAAATCTATTCAATTCCATTTCATAATGTAAATAATACTTCAAGAAGCTGATTCTACAATTAAATTCTAAGCAAATACGCGAAATTATGTAAAATGACCAAAACGCCCCTCGGGCCCACGTCTCGGAATCGGGTGAAATTTATATTTTCAGAATCCTCACACCCACACGAGTCTATTCATACAAAAATCCCTCAAATCGGATGACAAAAACCCAATCAAAACTAAATCTCTAGGTTTAAGAACTTTTCCCCAATTTCTACCAAAATTCCGAAATTAAAGGATGAATTTTAGTGAAGATTCATGGAATTTAGTCTAAACCGAGTAAGAATCACTTACCCAAGTCGCCCAGGTGAAAATCTCTTCAAAAATCATGATCTCCCGAGCTCCCAAGTCCAAAATATGAGTTATGGTCTAAACCCTCGATTTTAGGTTTTAAATTCTGCCCAGGTCATTTGTGCATCGCGAATGCAGAAGCGCGATCGCGAAGAAGGAACTGAAGCTGCCAAGAAAAAGGCCATCGCGAATGCGGGATAATGGACGCGATCGCCGAGAGTAAAAAGCAGGGGCTTACGCGAACGCGGAGGCTCTGACGCGAACGCGGAGAAGAAAATAGTCACAGCCCCTCAGTGCAAAATTCTGCTTTGCGAACGCGAGGGGTTGGGTGCGAACGCGAAGAAGAGGAAAGGCAAACCTTCGCGAACGCGGGGAGCTATACCCGAACGCGAAGAAGGATATCAGCTGACAGATTTTCTGCAATTCTACAAGTTCTAAAAATGACCCGTTGAGCATCCGAAACACACCCGAGGCCCCCGGGACCACAACCAAACCTACGAACATAACCCATAACATCATTCAAACTTGTTCCAACCTTCGCAACACTCAAAACAACATCAAAACACCTATTTTTCATCGGATTTAACCTTAAGAATTTCAAAAACTCTAAAAACACATTTTCGATCAAAAAGCCTACCAAACCTCGTCCGAATGACCTGAAACTCTGCACGCACGTCCCAAATGACATAACGGAACTACTGCAACTCTCGGAATTCCATTCCGACCCTCGGATCAAAATCTCACTATCGAATCGGAAACTTCCAAAATTCAACCTTCGGCATTTCAAGCCTAAATTAGCTACGGACTTCCAAAACACAATCTGAACACGGTCCTAACCCCGAAATCACCTAACGGAGCTAACGGAACCATCGAATTTCCATTCCGAGGCCGTCTTAATACTGTTCTGACTATGGTCAAGTTTCTAACACTTAAGCTCTCATTTAGGGACTAAGTGTCCCAAAACTCTCCGAAACTTAAAACCGAATATCCCGGCAAATCAAAATAGTAGAAATGAACTTAGGGAAAGCAGTTAATAGGGGATCGGGGTATTAATTCTTAAGACGACCGGTCGGGTCGTCACATCCTCCTACACTTATACATCCGTTCGTCCTCGAACGAGCATAGACACATAACTAAAGTGAAGCTGCTCATGGCCCCAAACTGCTGAGCGACGCGCTAGAGCTCAAAACGACCGGTCGGGTCGTTACATCCTCTCCCACTTAAACATACGTTCGTCCT